CCCTCTTCCAGGCCAGCTCTCTGCTGTGGCCAGGGAGTGCAGTGGAGGATGCCCCAAGTGCTTGGGCCCTGCACTCCATGGGAGACCAGGATAAGCACCTGGCCTTCTGATCAGCAGGGTGCCCTGGCCGCAGCGTGCCGGCTGCGGTGGCCATTGGAGGGTGAACCAATGGCAAAGGAAGACCTTTCTCTCTTCCTCTCTCTCTCTCTCACTGTCCACTCTGTCTGTCAAAAAAAAAAAAATACAAAAACAAACAAAAAAAACATGTGCTCTGCACTGACCAGCTTCCATCCCATCCTGAGGACTGTCCAACCTCTCTGCAGCTATACAGATCGGAATCAAGACACGAAAGTAGCCTCAACATTCCCTCCACTACCTCCATGGGGCAGCAAGATATAAATACACAGATGTGAGGCTACAGGAGGTTTTTCTAGAGCAGTACTGTAAGCTATGCTGTGCTACCATGTTTCCCAGCTCCCACACTGTGTTAATGAGATGTTCTTCCCAACACCTGCACTCTGAGCCCAGTGCGGTTGGATAGACAATCCAGCCCAGTGTGTGTGTCTGTGTCCATGTTCTTTGCTATACAAGAACACCAGAGACTGCATCACATGCAAGGAAAAGATTGTTTTGGCTTATGGTTCTGGAGGCTGGGAAGTTCAAGATCGGTGGCCACATCCGGTTAGGCTTCATGATGCTTCAACTCATGGCAGGAAATGGAAGGACAAGCAGGTGTGTGCATGTGTGGAAGACAGGACAGGAAAGCCAGACTTGCTTTACAACCTGTTCTGCACTAACTAATCTAGTCATGTGAGAGGGAGAACTCACAGAAGTACGACAGTCATTCATCCATTCACGGGGGCTCCACCCCTTGATGCAAACACCTCCCACTAACAACCCACTTCCTGGCGCTGCCTCAGGAGGAGTTTTGGTGGGACAAAACACAGCAGTGTGTCAGGATCTGTGACTTGCAGTCCTCACATTTCCACCATCTGCAGAAATATGGGAGTGGAAAACCAAGCCCTCCTCAAATAAACCCACTCCCCCCAATACAGTGAAAGCCTTTCTCAAGTGCTAACTTCATCAGGTTCTTGTGTGCCTATGAAGTGGGTGATATTCTCACTGGACATGGGAAGAAACTGAGGCTAAGAATTCAGAAAGCCTTGTTAATTTTTTGAAACTAGGAAGGATTTGGATCATGGACTATAAACAAACATTAATGTTTGGTGAGAGTCTACTACATACATGCCACGTTATTATTGATCATTGTTATTTATGTACCTTATTTAATCTTCATATCTTCCTTGGAAGGCAAACAGTATTACATTTTACTGTGGTGAATGCAAGGCTTAGAGAACTGAATTTGCCTGAAATAACACAGAGGGGCTAGGGCCGTCAGTTCAAGCCATATCCGTCTGGTTCTAGAACTCAAACTTTGTGCCAAGGCTTTGTTGAAAACCCGGGCCATTCTGAATCCTCAGTTTGTGCATGCTGTATGTGCTCATCAGGCATTATTTTAAACATTGCCCAAAAATAGCAATAATGCATCCTAAGGCATCTAAACTAACCTCTTCACCTTAATTCCTTCATTGTAAAATGAGAACAATAATAAGCTGGAGGCAGTGCTGAAGGATTTAATGCAGCTCTGTACACAGGAGGTGCTCCAGTGAGTGTGTCTCTCTGCCACATTTTCTACTATCATGATTACTTCCACCTCCCCATCTGTCTTCTCAGCACAAATCCCTTTCTTTATTTTTTGGCTTTGGATACCTCATTTCTTGGTTTGGGATGGACAAAGCTGATCTAAGGTTAGCAGAAAGTATTCCTGAAACAGCCAGACTCCACCCATGAAACTTTGCTCATGTGATTGAGCTATGCTGGTCTCAGTTGGGGTTTGTGGGGCATTTCAGCTGACTGCCCCCACATGATGACAAGTGTCAGACACAAAGGTGATTCAGAGATTAAGGATGAGGCCAAGGGACAGATTTAGAGTAACAGACTATACAACCTACACTGGGTGCTTGAGGCCAGAACACGCAGTGGACTGTGTGCAGTCATTTTGGAAGGGAGGTGGGGGAGGCTGGAGCATAGGGAGGCCTTGTGAAGAGGATGGCTTAGTAGTGGCTGGAGGCTGCTGAGGGAAGCAAAGAATAAGCAAGGAACTTGTCAAACCTAGCGAAGCAGGGATGAGGCTGTTTCTGCATAATGCATCTCCCCTGCTGTTCTCCACCTCACTCGCATGCCCACACAATTTATTAACAACTATCACCTCACTTGAAGAACCATTTAATCAGCTAAGTAATAGGCAGGTAGAGAGTCACATAGAGAGAGAGAGAGAGAGAGCTTCCATCCACCAGTTCTCTCCCCAAAGGCTTGCAATGTGCAGGGCTGGGCCAAGGCTGAAGCCAGGAGCCCAGACCTCAGTCTGGGGGTCAGATACTGGGGTGCACATCAGAGGGCAGCGAGAGTCAGTAAGAGAGCTTAGACTGAACTCAGGCACTCAGATCTGGGCATCCCAAGGAGTATCTTAACCACTGCACCTTATGGGTTTCATGAAACTGTAGTCAGAAGATTGAAAAGACATCAATCAAGTGAAAGCAAATTTCAGTGTGAGATGTGAATATGTCCTGCAGAGTCTGGCTCGTGGTATCAGAGTTACACAAATGAATGTCTTTTTAAACTCTAATATATATGAAAACGTGAGGCCTGAAAAATGTGGAGACAGCTATTAGAAGTAAGATTTGAGGACCAAACTCAAGGAGAGGAATAACTTATCAGCATTTCTTCTCAAAAATCAAACGTGAGGAGTTGGAATTGTGGTACGATGGGACATGGCGGCATGCCAGCTGCTCCACTTTCAATCCAGCTTCCTGCTAATGTGCTTGGGAAGGCAGCAGTACCCAAGTACTGAGTCTGTGCCATCCACATGGAGACTTGGATGTAGTTCCTGGTTCCTGGCCCAGCCCTGGCTGTTGCAGCCATTTAGGGAGTGAACCAGTGCATGGAAGATTCTCTCTCTCTTTCTCTCTCTCTCTTTCTCTTTCTTTCTCACCCCTCTCCCTATAGTTCTGCCTTTCAAATAAATAAATCAAAAAAATTAAATGTGAATATTTTCACACACAACTGGTGGAAACAAATGGGTTCATTAATGCACATGCTCTTAACCCCATAATTTTGTGTTTAACTTAGTTTTTTTTTAAATCATTTTATAGTAGCAGCTTTATTTTTTTTCTTTCTTTCTTTCTTTCTTTTTTTTTTTTTTGACAGGCAGAGTGGAGAGAGAGACAGAGACAAAGGTCCTCCTTTACCGTTGGTTCACCCTCCAATGGCCGCCGCGGCCCGCGCATCACGCTGATCCGAAGTCAGGAGCCATGTGCTTTTCCTGGTCTCCCATGCGGGTGCAGGACCCAAGGACTTGGGCCATCCTCCACTGCACTCCCTGGCCATAGCAGAGAGCTGGCCTGGAAGAGGGGCAATCGGGACAGAATGTGGCACCCCGACCGGGACTAGAACCCGGTGTGCCGGCGCCGCAGGCGGAGGATTAGCCTAGTGAGCCGCAGTGCAGGCCTAACTTAGTTTCTAACAAAACATGCAAAAGTACCGGCAAATTACTTTTCACACTAGCAAAGACTGTAAAACAACTTAAATGTTCAATAGCAAAGGGTTGCTTAAATAAACTATGGGTGTACCCATGTGGGTAATTACTATGATGGTTTTTAAATCATGTCTTAGAGGTGGTTGTTGTGGTGCAGAGGGTTAGACCAACAATGGTTTATGCCTAGCCCAGCCCAGGCCTGCTGTGGGCATTTGGAGATTGAACCAGCAGATAAAGAGCTGTCTTTGTTGCTTTGCCCTTCAAATACATAAAAGTGAATGATTTGTGTGCTTTTTTTTTTTTTTTTTGACAGGCAGAGTGGACAGTGAGAGAGAGAGAGAGACAGAGAGAAAGGTCTTCCTTTTGCCGTAGGTTCACCCTTCCAATGGCCACCGAGGCTGGCGCGCTGCGGCCAGCGCATCACGCTGATCCGAAGGCAGGAACCAGGTGCTTCTCCTGGTCTCCCATGCGGGTGCAGGGCCCAAGGACCTGGGCCATCCTCCACTGCACTCCCTGGCCATAGCAGAGAGCTGGCCTGGAAGAGGGGCAACCGGGACAGAATCCAGTGCCCCGACCGGGACTAGAACCCGGTGTGCCGGTGCCGCAAGGCGGAAGATTAGCCTATTGAGCCACGGCGCCGGCCTGTTTTTTGTTTTACGTGAATACATTTAAAGTGAAGAAGTGCTTATTATTAGAAAAGAATAAAGTGGGGCCCGCACTGTGGCCCAACCAGTTAGTGCCCTGTCCTGCAGCACTGGTATCCCATATTGGAGCAGGTTTGAGTCTTGGCTGCTCCACTTCCGATTCAACTCTCTTCTGATGGCCTGGGAGAGCAATCGAAGATGGCCCAAGTGCTTGGGCCCCTGTACCTGCCAGAAGACCTGGAAGAAGGTCCTGGCTCCTGGCGTCAGCCTGGCCCAACTCTGGCTGATGTGGCCATTTGGAGATTGAACTTGTAGATGGAAGACCTCTCTGTCTCTACCAGCCTCTGTAACTCTACCATTAAAATAATAAAATAAATCTTTAAAAAAATAATAAAGGGGAAGCACTGTGTAATGATACCAGCATAATGTATCAACAAAATACTTGAAGAATATAAACCAAATTTTTATAGACAGGTGTTTTTAAAAAAAATTAAAAACACATTTACCTGAAATAAAAATGAACCAAAAAGGATAATCTTTTTTTTTAAAATAGTAACTTATAACAGAAGCTTTCTAACAGAGAGGGAATTATTTAAACTAAGAGCTCAAGAAATGAGTTCTGTCCCTTTTTGTATAAACACACAAATGTTTTGCCCATCCCTTTGACTGGTGGTTTGTTTTGCATCTGTTACTTTTATGTTAATGATATTCATCTTGTTTTCCACAACCATGTGTTTCTCTGTCTTTTCAGTCCGTAAATATTGGTTTTGAGTGCTATTTTGCAAAAATGCTAAATGGTTGATTAGTTGAAATGGAGGAAGACACAGTGCATGACCATCTTTCCTTTCCTGTAAACAACAGCTTTCATCATTCAGTTTCCTCTACCACTTCACCAGGAGGGGCAGAGCATTTTGAGTCGGAGTATCCTCACTCAGAGGCAATTTGCTTCTTGTCGTAGAGCCCCTAGGGGATTTTGGACCGGCGTGGACGACTTCTCCCTCATATTGGGGTCGGTTTCTTCCACCTGCATCACTGCACGGCATGGATCCAGGTAACACCTGCTTTTATTCCCTTGGATCTTAGCACCTGGGTATCCTATTAATTCTACTTATTCTAGGAATATGGCACTGAACTACAAGTGACATGACCTGAGAAGGAGCCTGGTAGGAAAGCATTCCCTCTCATTGCATTAGAATTGCACGGACTCTGCAGTGTGTCAAAATTGAGGTTCAGCGTCCAGGATGAGTTATCTTCTCTTTCTCAATATGCTATGAGTTTTGCTTTGTGTTATGAACATGAAGAAGAGTGATTTGAGTAGATATTTTTCCTTGGCTCTAATGATTTATGTATCATCCATCCATATTGAAGGATTCTGTAGCAGAAATGTTCAGTTTTTTTACAGATTTCCTGCTTCTTAGATATAATCTTCTCTCTGACATGAATGTAAGAAGCAAGGTAAATTTCAAATTTGATTACTTCGTAATTTTTTTCTACATTGATATTTATTGCTAGATTAACTAAAAGGCATTAACTAAAGATTAGCTATAATGAATTTTATTTTCACAAAAGCAACATCATATATGGGAACCTAAGAGATTTTTATTCAGCTTATCTTGTACAAGACACTGGACTCTGAAATGTTAACCAACTTGTGATATTCACCCTCAGATAATCATTTCCAGTTGGTCTTTCAGATATACTTTGGGAAATACTCTATTAGAGTGTTTCAAAAGAATACAAGAGCTTTTAACTTATATGCATATCAAAATATGTATTTTTAAGCCAAACCATTTATACTCTTTCAGAATGCAGAATTATTGTTGTTAGAATCAACCATTTAAACGTGTTTCAGAGTTTTGAGATGGAACTAATTTGTCATAATATTTTTAGATGTATGTTGAACATTTTGAGTGAAATTGAGTAAATAGGACAATAATCTACTGGCAATCTTTTTCTTTTGTTTGTGTTTTCTGATAACCATGGCAGTGATCACTAGGATTATAAATGATTTTAATGGAAATGTTAACAGGATTTCCACTTCTAATATAAATCAGACTGTCTGTGTACTTGCAGGAGTAGATAAAGATGTACACAGAGATGCACAAACACACACACAATTAGCTCTCACCATCACGTCGGGAATGTTCCTTGAAGCTTCCATTTTGATTTTTCTTTAGAAGCCACCGTGTAGCAAAGTTTTGATGCCAGATATGTTTCTCTTCTTTTAGAGATGAGCAATCAGGAGGTGACTTATTCAGCTTTAAGATTTCCTCAGTCTTCTTCAGAATCGCAAAATGGATTAAGACCTGATGGCACTCGAAGGAGCGGAAAAACTGATGATAAAGGTATATATAAAAATATTTTAAAAACAATTTATTCATTTATTTATTTTAAAGGTAAAGTGGCAGAGAGGGAGAGACAAAGAGAGAACCACTGGTTCACTATAAATGGGCACAGTAGCCGGGGTTGGGTTAGGCAGAAGCCATGAGCTTAGGACTCCCTCTGGGTCTCCCACATGGGTGGCAGACACCAAAATGCTTGAGTGATCTTCTGAGGCTTTCTCAGGGGCATTAACAGAGAGCTGGATAAGAAGTGGAGCAGCTGAGACATGAATGGGTATTGTGATATGGGATGCCTGCATTGCAACTGGCTGCTTAACCCACTACATCATAATGCTGACCCCAATGTATATATTTTATGCCTCTAAATTCACCTGTTGTTTATGGATTGCCAAACTTGAGGCCTAGAAAAAGTTCATTTAGATGCTTCTGATTGTCAAGTGGTTATAAGACACTATAACGAGGCAGAATAGTAGAACAGAAAACTTGAAAGGACAGTTGGCAGGATGGAGAAATTAATGAATCCTATGAGCAGCTAATAGACTGCTTTTATGCAAGTTTGGTCAATATGATTTGTGAGGCCTTTAAAAGTAAAACACAGAAAAATGTCCCAAGAAAATGTAGCATATCTTAGGGAATGTTTACAAAGTGAAAAATATGTGTTAAAAACAAAGTTATTCAGACAACACATTTTAGGCGCCTTAAGAATATATATCTGCTTACACTGGTCTTGTTTGTAAAATCTCTTCGACACTTACCCTATCTTTTTGATCGGTTGTGTACTTATACTTATCACTTTACCAAGTGGGCTGGCATTGGTACATGCCTTCTTGATAAGATTGAGTTGAAATCCCCTGGCACATTTCTAGTTCCACCATTTAGGTAAGTCCGAGTGAGCCTGTGCCGACCTATATATCTCCTCCCTCTCTTATTCCCACTCCTGTGTTTAACAGAGATCACTTTTATTTTAATTTTTACATGCCTAAGAATGATTGTGTATTGATTACAGAGTTCAACCAATGTTATTAAGTAGAACAAACAGAGCAGCAGCAACAACAACAACAACAAAATACTAAAAGGAATAAAATAGTAAGTTGTTCCTCAACAGTCTAGACAAGGGCTGATCATGTCATTGTCTCTCATAGTCTCCATTTCACTTCAATGGGTATCATTTTAGATGCTCATTTAGTTGCCATCAATCAGGGAGAACATATGATATTTGTCCCTTTTGGACTGGCTTATTTCACTCAGCATGATATTTTCCAGCTTCCTCCATTTTGTTGTAAATGCCCAGATTTCATTGTTTTTTACTGCTGTATAGTGTTCCATAGAGTACATATCCCATAGTTTATCCAGTCATCTGTTGATGGACATTTAGGTTGCTTCCATGTCTTAGCTATTGTGAATTGAGCTGCAACAAATATTGAGGTGCAAATGGCTCTTTTTTTCTCCCCTTTAATTCCATTTGGGTAAATTCCAAGGAATGGGATGGCTGGGTCCTATGGTAGTGCTACATTCAGGTTTCTGAGGACTCTTCAAACTGTCTTCCAAACGCCCAAAACAGCACTCTGGCCTCAGAATCAACCCTTGGGGCATTCGGATCTGGCTAAAAGGTCCATGAGAGTCTCACAGGCATGGAAAGCCATGACACGGTGGCAAAAACAATCTAAATAAAAGATCCTGGAGAACAAGACCCCAGCGGAAGGAACAGGCCATCAAGGAGGGAGGCGCCTTTCTCCGAAGGGAGAAAGGAACCTCCACTGTGATATGGCCTTGACTAAACAAGTTCAGAGTTGGTGAACTCAAGGGGCTTCCATAGCCTAGACAGCTCACGGCAAGAGCCTCGGGGGATTGCTGACACCATAAATAAGAGTGCCAATTGTTAAATCTACAACAGGAGTCACTGGGTACAGGCTCCCCACGTAGGATCTATGTCCTTAATGTGTTCTACTATGAAACTTAAAAACAACACTACTAGTCGAACAATACCCTATACCTTGTGCGGTTGTGTGAGGGCAGCCTGTTGAAATCCCTGCTTAGTATATACTAAGTTGATCTTCTGTATATGAAGGTGATTGAAAATGAAACTCGATGAAGGGTGGGATGGGAGAGGGAGTAGGAGAGGGGAGGACCACGGGAGGGAGGGAGGTTGGGGGGGTACCACAACAATACAAAAGTTGCACTTTGTAAATTCACATTTATTAAATAATAAGAAAAGCATATATATCTGACCTTAAATGCTATGAAGAAGGAAAAAAATCTTCATATCAAAGAGACTTTCTAATTTTTCTATTCTCTCTGTACCTCAAATATTGTCACAATTTAAATTCTAAGCTGAAAATAACTTTTATGATTTTAGTTTGGTGATAATCAATGATACAATTTTTCCAATATGGCGACATCATAGTAAAAGGATAAATATAGTATTGTCTCCAGAAAAACAGGATTGATGGTGAAGCAGGAAAAGTGGATTTCTAGATCCTCCTGTCAGGATGGCCTGTGATCCCTTTTGCAACCCAGAACTCAAGACCATTGCCTGCTTTTCCTTTCCATGATTAGCTGTGATCACAGGAAGGACACGTGTCACTGTGGACTCCCCTGCGGTCTTACGTCAGCTGTCGGTGGTGCCTTAGTAGGGGCCTGCTTTTGAAACCCTGAAGAACTATTCCTGTGCATGGGGACTTCTGTGATGAGTATATCAACCAGAATTTTTTTTTTGAGATTTATTTATTTTATTTGAAAGTCAGATTTACACAGAGAGAAGGAGAGACAGAGAGAGAAGGAGATCTTGCAAATACTGGTTCCTCCCCAGAGAGCTGCAATAGCTGAAGCTAGGTCAGTCCAAAGCTGGGAGCCAGAAGATTCTTCTATCTCCTCCACATCAACCGGAAACCTTAAACTTTAAAACTGTATTTTATATGTTAAAATTTTAAATCACTTGGTAGATATTATCTTGCAAAATTTTTAAAGATCTTCCCTTTGCTTCAAACAGTGTCCCTGATGGAGGTAAGTGGTAACCAGGCTCTCTCTCTCTCTCTTTTTTCTTTAAAGAGTTCTCAGTGCCCAGGCATCTCCTTGCAGTGACTCTTGGAATCCTCTGTTTACTTCTCTCAGTGGCGGTCGCAGTGTTGGTGACAAAGAGTGAGTACTGGAGTCCATCTTTCTAGTCTGAGGACCTGCAGTAACCATGCTTTGTGCAGATACTAACAGTGTTGCTCCCTGTTGAAACTCGGGGACCTCCCAGAGGGTTCTGGACTTTGTTGGTGAGTTTTTCAGGAACACATCACACGGTGGTGTTCACTCTGCTTACCTAGTTCACTGGCTCTGAAGCTGTGGTGAGCTGTCTCATTCTGCAAAATGCACGGGAACATTTCTTTTGGTAGGTTGTTGTGTAGGATTCTGCCATTGAGTTGAGATCATTGTCAGTCTGAGAAAAACACTTTGGCTGTTTATTTATTTATTTTGATGTACATAATAAGGAAACAGTAAGAAGAATTAATATGCACATAGAAGATGATCTGGAATTTAAGCTTTTTTCTTTCTCTTTTTTTCTCATCTTAAGGAAAACCATGGATATACTACATTGGTATGAAATCACCTATTTTCGGATATTTAATCTATTCCAATAATAATTGTATTTTATCTTCGTATTTTTAAGTTCAGGCTAAAACGATTTTTTTAACTGAGGTGGGGTGAGAGAGAGAGAAAGAGAGATGGAGAAAGAATCCTTTCTGGGAGTTCACCCCCAGATACCTGCAGCTGGGAGCCAGGATCTCAGCCCAGGTTTTCCACATGGGTGGCAGAAACTCAGCTTCTTGAGTCATCACAGCCTCCTCCCAAGACTCTGGAGTCAGGAGCCAGGGTTGGGCACTCCACTGTACCCGGGTACTCAGTCGTGGGACACAGGCATCTGTCCACAAACATCTGCCTGCTAGGTTAGGTTTTTATCTTCAGAAGATGTATCATTAAATGTTAACTAACTGAATTTTGATTTGCTACTTATTTATAAATGATGTGCTATTAAAAATGAGCTAAACTGTAAAGTACGGTGTTAGCCATCAGGTATTTTATTTAGGCTACTCTTCAGTGGCTATTAGTGAGAAATTTGATGTTTCCATTTCTGTGGTCAGTTCACTGAGGTGTTACTTTCTAAGTGTCAAATTACTGAAATAATCATATGAGTTGGTTGTTAAAGTGAGACTTTTCCTGTTGTCTCTAATTTCACAGTTGGACCTCATGATTGTATTTTTATGATATCAGTGCTGCACGTTTTAGTTTTACAGCTTATTCAAGAAAAGCATCAACAGCAGGAAATTCTAGGAAACCTCACTCAAATGTACCACGTCGTGCAAAACGATGACTACTTAAAGAAGCAACTCTTGGCAAATAAGTCTTTAGAATATGACACTCTCAAAAATAAAACCCTTCTAATGGAAAATGCACTGAAGTCACCCTTTTTAAAACAGAATGGACGCTGTGCAAAAAAAGATACCGTCCCGAAATCTGTGCACAATCCAGGTATGGAAGAAATGTGGGAGGATTCACTGTGTCGTCTTGGTCATTTCTTCCCCTCTAGAAGCCTTGCCATCTATGCCTAGTGATCTATGGGTCTACTGGACAGCTTTGAATTTGTGCCTTTCAGATGCAGGGTGTTGGAATCCCTGGAACCACATTTGCATGTGTAGAGCCCTGTGGTTCCCCAGACTCCATGGCAGTTTTTGCCTCCTCTCTATTCCCAGATGGTGAAACAGTATGCCAGACCCCTAGCAATTCAGCTGATCTGGCCCTGTGAGACTTGGGGTGTTGCTCACATAAAATGCAGAGGCTTTCAGTAAAAATATTACCTACAACGGGCACAACAGTTTTATTTGAATGCTGCTGTAGAGATATTTTGTGGTATGTGTGTGTGTGTGTGTATGTTGGTGTGTCTGCCTTGACTTCAGATATTTTTTCTATATGTGACCACCAATACCAGTGTAATTTTAAAGATTCATGGAAAATGCACCTTATTAAACAATTCTACAGGGATTTCAAAAAATTGGCACCCAAAGAAGCTTATATTTTCATGAACACTTTTTCTTTTTTTCATGAGCTTTTGAAAGTACCGTAATAATATACTCCCTGCAAGATATCTGCGAGATTTGTCCTAGTGTTGACATTTATACAAACACCCAAGAGATAAAAATATTAAATCTCATGCAGTAAGTACTAAAATGTTGCCTAATGATGGAATGAATTGTCCAGATTATAAACAACCAGTAAATATTCATATATTTAAAATAACTTTTGTATATTTAATTATATTACTTAGTAGAAATTTAGTTTCCATTTATAAGTTTTTATACTATAAATATAAATATATAAAGGGAAGAGAAATGTTTCTACATATAATTTTAGAGATTTTATTTTAAAGATTATTTCTTTGAAAGGCAGAGTTACAGAGAGGCAGAGGCACAGAGAGAGAGGAAAGGTCTTTCACCAGCTGGTTCATTCTTCAGATTGCCAAAATGGGCAGAGCTGGAGCCAATCCGAAGCCAGGAGCCTGGAGCTTAATCCAGGTCTCCCACAGGAATGCAGGTAGAAGGACTTGGTCCATCTTCTGCTGTTTTTCCCAGGCCATAGCAGAGAGCTGGATCGGAACTGGAGCAGCTGGGACTTGAACTTGCACCCATATGGGATGCTGGCACTGCAGGTGGTGGCTTTACCACCTAACCAGAGAGAGAGAGAGATAGAGAGAGAGAGAGAGAGAAGCAGAGAGAAAGGTCTTGGCCCCATGGCTGGAGCCAAGCTGAGCCAAAGCCAGAAGGCAGGAGCTTCTTCTGGGTCTCCCATGAGGGTGCAGGGGTCCAAAACACATGGGCCATCTTCACTGCTTTCTCAGGCCATAAGCAGAGAGTTGGATTTGAAGAGGAGCACCAGGGACATGAACCGGAGCCCATATGGAGTACCAGGGCCTCAGGTGGACACTTAGCCTACTATACCACAATGCCGGTCACCAAAATATACTTTTAAATTAGAAAGCATCTTAAAATATTTTTGAAAAACTTAGATTATTTTTATTATTTTGAAGCATCCTAGAATATTTTTAAAAACTTAGACTATTTTTTTATTATTTTAAAACATCTTTATTGAGCTATTATTAGCATCCAAAACTTCATAGATTAAATATACATGATTTGACGAATGGACACATGCATCCAACCATGACTCAATCTCCATAATAAGGAAAATAGACTTTTATATCACCTCCCAACGTGTCCTTTGTTGTTCACCGTGGTAAGAACACTGACTGTGAGATCTTTAAATTTTAAGTGTATGATACAGCGTCCCTCACCGTGGGCACTATGTTGTACAGTAGATCTCTGGAACTTGTTCCTCACACATAACTGAAAGATTACACTCAGAGAACAAAATTTTCCATTTCCCTGCCCACCACCTCTGCACAACCTCCTTCTATTCTGTCTTCCCATGGGTTTGGCCACTGCAGATACCACAGAGAAGTGCAATCATGAGGAGTTATCTCCCGTGTACTGATGTGTCCCGACACTGTGAGACTCTTGTCTTTTCAGACTATATCCTCACAATCAAATGCAGTTGTAACTCTTTAAGCATTTTAAGAGAATTATTCTATTTAAAAATTTTTGATCAGAACATACTACTTGGACATAGTATGGGTCTCATGTAATATTTTAACACATAAACATGGTGCAAACCAATCACATTTAGACTTTTCATTTTCCTGTCCTTTCTTTGTGTTTGGAGCCCACAAGCTCCCCTCTTCCAGTTCTTCAGTGATAATTCATCCTGGTGAAGTCTGGTCACCGTACTGACTGAAGGAACACTAAAACTTGATACTGCACCTGACTGTGTTTTGGGACTTAGCTAACCTCTCTCTACACATTGCCAACCTCCACCCTCAACCTTAACCAGCCACTAGTAATTATTATAGATAGGCTTGAGCCTTTGTGTCAGTTAGGGGTGGCTGATAAATATATTGTTCTCATTCACAGATGACTAGATAATAAGAAATTCAATGACTGTCCTCACTTGTTGTAGGTAAAGTCCATGAAGACTACTGGTCCTGTTATGGAGTAAACTGCTATTATTTTATTCTGCAAGATAACACCTGGGAGCAATGTAAACAAACCTGCCAAAGTTACGGTTCCTCCCTTTTGAAGATTGACAATGAACATGAACTGGTATCACAGACTCCTCCATGTACTCTGAATCTCATGAATGTGTCTCTCCCCTGTGACCCAAGATGCTGCGAAGGGGAGGGTGGTCCAGAAAGAGGGATCTTCAGCTATTCTTCCTATTCTGTGGGGAAGATTATAGAGTTCAGAATCTCCCTGGAAACCCTGTCTGCTAATAAGCATATGATCCTGCTACTCATTGAGTGTTCAATGCACATGATCTATTATGACGATGATTATGAAGGGTGAAGTTTGTAATCCTCTCTCTTCAAGGAGACTGCAGTAGTGCCACTTACAAGAAAATATGCCTTTCCTTGGAGGAAGTACTTATCTGAACCTTTGGTAGCCTGTACCCTAGAACCACAGTTATTTTTTCCCTATGGGGTGGCAAGCAGTGGGGGTGCAGCATAGTCCATGAGCGCTGGATCAGAAGAGGAGCATCTGGGACTAGAACTGGTGCCCATATGGGATGCCAGCGCTTCAGGCCAGCGCTTTAACCCGCTGCACCACAGCGCTGGCTGTTATAGTAAATTTTAGACATTTTTAATATTCCCAAACACTTACTCCCCCCCTTTTATCTCTTCCAACTACTTACCTAAAAGCAAGGCTTTCTTCTGTGAGTGAAGAGTGTAATGCACACCCCCCACACAATCAGTTTTTCTTTTAAGAAGTTTGTTTTGAAGACTTCTTCTTTCATTTAAGATCATGCAGTGCTACCTTCTCTACACCATGACATATTCTTTTGGATCATGAGTTTGAATAGTTTTCTGAAGTGTCATACATTATCTAACAAATTTCTTATTTGTAGGTATTTTAATTTAAACATTTTCCATGCTTTAACTAATTCATGAGACTGGCAACCGATTTTAATGTATATAAATCATCTCCTAAGGAAATGTTCTTTGGAAAATGAAAATGTAGGCTTTGTAGAATGAGAGATTTTTCTATGAATCAGGGGTGAAGGGTGTTGTGGAGACTGACAGAGTACTGGCTGTGGATACAGCTTTTGTCCCTCTACCTGTTTTTCTTCCCACTCTTCCAACAGAAGGGAACTCATTCCCATGATGTGTTTTGTTTCCTTTGTAGGCATTTGTTCAATTTCAGATTCATGGAAATATGTATTGGATTGGATTGTCATATAGTGATGTGGAATGCAAATGGAAATGGCTTGATGATGGCACATCACCTGGAATGTAAGATTCTGAAATGTATTCAGACTCTAACATTGGTGTGGGAGTTGGAAGGATTGTGTCTAACAAGTCATTGCTCATTTCACAGTTTTTTTTTTTTTGAAGTAAATTCCATTTAATAAAAGAAGAATTAGGAAGAAAGTATTTTAGTAAGTGGTGTTAATAGAGAAGAGATATTTGGCATTAGTAATGATAAAAGCATACCAAACACATGCAGTATGAGTTATGAAACAAACAAAATGAAACACAGTCATTGTTTAGGTAAATATGAAGTGATTGTACCATCCTGACTAAATAGTAGTTATTCCTGGCATGGGCGCTGTGGCACAGTGGGTTAAGCCTCTGCCTGTGGCACCAGCATCCTATATGGGCACATTTTATGTCCTGGCTGTTCCTCTCCTGATCCAGCTCTCTGCTTATGGCCTGGCAAAGCATTGGAAGACAGCCCAAGTCCTTGACCCCTGCACACACATGGGAGACTGGAAGAAGCGCCTGTCTCCGGGCTCCTGGCATCAGATTGGTCCAGCTCTGTCCATTGTGGTCATTAGGGGAGCAAAGCAGCAGATGAAGACCTCTCTCTCTGTCTCTCCCTGTCTCTGTCTGTAACTCTACCTCTCAAATAAATAAATAAACATAAAAAAAAAACACTCTAGAATGGTCTTGAGCCCTCCATTTAAGCAAAAGAGAAAAAAGAATAATCTCACCTAAGAATTCAGAATCACAAAAAAAAACCACCACATATGTACTCCTGCCTCTACTTAAGCCTCAGCCTAAGTGTGAATCTACTTTCTGACTGATGAACATATTCAAGGAGGTGCAACATCTTATTTATCTATCATTTTAACTAAGTAGGAAAGTAGTTCTGCCACCTAATGAACCTTTTTTTTAGATAGACACCATGCTTTGATAGTTTTCTGTGGACTGCCATGGTTTTGCTTAACTACTGTTTGTTGATGGGGAAGACAAAGAAATAAACCAAAACATCAATCAAACTATCTAATCTCTGACTATATTTCATTCTGTTTTTTCTCCTTAAAGTATATGCACGTGAGACCTGGTTGTCTGTGTCACAGAAATTCAGTTCTACTTTTAAATTTCTCACTTCTATTAAAAAAATAAAGTAAGAAAGTAGGTTTGGTATATTATGATCCCAAAGCCATTTTGCAAAGTAATTTTTTCTGCTGACCAAAAGTTCAGAGTGTGGAACAAACTGGGAGATTTTAGGTAAATGTGTTTAATGGGCTAAGAATAAAGAAAATATTTCGATGTTGAAGTTATGAAGAACATTTATATTTATTAGGAATTTAAGAAATAGAATTTAAAACGTTCATGAAGATGTCATTGGAAAATTCGGATTTAAACAGTTGACCTTTGTATTTTCTGTTCTGCAGGAATTTGAAAATGATGAGCTCACCTTCTAGGAAAGAAAAATGTGTATTTTTGGCCTCAACAAGATTAGCATATGGCGATTGCTCTAGAACCTACAGTTGTGTCTGTAAAAAGAGAATTAATTGTAATTTCCCTTCTTCAATGTGCACTTAGAAGAACAGGTAACATTGGAAATGCTGCCCTGCTTTTGTGTCCTGTAGTAATTTGGGGTCACTGCTAACACCTGTTTCTGACTGCAGGGTTCAGTGCAGTGTGGACACAGGAGCTGGAAGAGGAAGCACATCTTCTCCTGAGCCCTGATCAGGAGGCCAGACGCCATCTTCTTCCTGTGGGGAGTGGGAGCTTCATCTTTGGGAGCAGCTGCTCCTCTATTGTGGTTCTCAGGCATCACTCTTCCCGCTTCCCTGAACAACCCGGGACCTGTTAGAGCATCCTAATGCATGGCCTCGATCTTTCCTTATCAATAGGATAAAACATGTCAATGTTATCAGACCATGGAAGTACAATTAAGAACTAGGATATAGTTATATTTTTACTATGTAGAAGCATACCTCGTCTTTAAAACTATTTTGTTATAGAATTTAAATTCAAATTTACTGAATAGTTGAAAGAATACTACAAGACAGACCCATGCAACTTTTACCCACAGTTATCAGTTATTTGTATTTTGCTGTGTTTTCCTGTTTCTCTTTCACATTTTTCTCATTGTCGATCCATCTGAAAATAAATTGAAGATATGCCCTGGTTTCTGAATATTTTTGAAGAAAAGGACTTTGTCTAATATAACCATGCTGCAATTATGAAAATCAGGAAATTTAGCAATGATACAGCATTATGATCTAATCTATAAACCACATTCCAATTTGTCCATTGTCCTAATATTGTCATTTATGGGTATTTTTCTCCATGTTCACAATAATACAATGCATTTAATCATCATATTGATGACATGTCCTTTAATCTGGAATAAGTGTTTAAATTTTCTTTGTCTTTTGACCTTGAAATGAAAAAAACTCAACCTTATTGAGTTAGACTATCCATACAATAGACTGTACCCATTTTAAGTCATGGGGGATATAGGTTTTAATCTGTTTACCTCTCACATGCTAGCAAATCAAAATCTAGAACATTTGCATCAGCTCCAGAACTTCCATTCTGCCTCACACCAGCCACCTGGCCTCTGTCCACCAGCGATGCTCTTTCTGTCACTATCAATTTGTTTAGCTTATTCTAGAACTACATGCATCCTGTGGATTTTTTTTTCCTGGCTGCTTTTGGATCAGCATGTGTTTAAAATTAATCAGTGGTTTTTCATGGATCAGCAGTTCCCTCTCTTTGTTATTTAGTATTCTATTGTTCAGCTAGAGCACATCTGTTCACTCAGTTATGGACATTGGATACATTTCTCATTTTTGGCTACTGTGAATAAAGCTGCCATGAAATTTATGTGTGGGTCTCTGTGTGTGGGGATATATTTCTGTCTCTTTTTAATAACTATCTAAGAATCTGATTTCTGGATCATAGGTAAGTACATGTTTAATTTGATAAGAAGCTCATATACTGATTTTCAATGTAGTTACATCATTTTTACTCTCCCAGTAGCAACAAATGTGAGTTCCAATTGCTCCCCATCATTGTCAACATTTTCATTTTAGCTATTGTGGCCAGTGTGCAGTGGCATCTGGTGTTTTTAAATTTATATTTCTCTATGCTTATTCTTAGACATTTTATATAGTTTTAGTTTACATGGATGGTTTCCATCGATTTCTAGTTATTTTGTATCTGAGAACAGTGTTGAGGCTTATGAGATGCAATTGTTTTTGCACTGTTACAAAACCTTTCCTTTTTCCACTGGATTACTTTGGAGCCATTGCAGATCGCTTGCTCTCTCTTTTTGTCTTCTCTCTCTCTCACTCTCTCTCTCTCTCTCTCTCTCTCACTCTGTCTCATTCTCTCTCAGTAACTGTGCATTTTAAATAAATAGATTTACCTTAAGAAAAAATAACTAAATAAAAGAAACCCAAATCATCTTGACAGGGCCACATCCCCTCTGTGACCCTGTGTGGACTCCTCCCTTGCACCTTCCTGGCATCTGGTGGTGGTCACCGAACCTTGATCCTTGGTGATGCTGCTACTTCTACTTCTTTTTTTTTTTTTCCAAAAAAATATCTATTTGAAAGGCAGAGTTACAGAAAGAAAGATTGAGAGAGATTTTCCATCTGCTGGTTCACTCCTCAAGTGGCTGCAGAGGCCACTGCCTTCTCAGGCACATTAGCAGAAGCTGAATTGGAAGTAGAGCAGATGGGCATCGAACCATCATCCATATGGTTTTCTGGCATTGCAGGCTGCAGCTTAACCTGTTTTGCCACAATGCCGGTCCCCCATTGGTGCTTCTTGGCCTTCAGGATCCCCGAATTTCTGGCTCTGACATCTCACATCACATTCTCCCCTTGTGTCTCTGTTTTCACAGGTGGGTTGCTGTCCTAATAAGGACACCAGTTATATTAGATTAGGGTGCACCCTAATGACCTCATCTTAGCTGAAGTATAGTTCCAAAGACTCTATTGCATAAAAAGCCTGTACTCACAGGTATAGAGGTTGAGACTTAAATAGTTTTTTGAAGGACACAGTGCAACCTATAACAATCATGTTCATTTACCAACTGTTTACTTCTGGAGAACCTGTAGTCACTTCCTTTCTAAGATCCTGCCGTGTAAGTGGCTTCCTTCTTTGATCAGCGCAGCTAGAGTTTATATCAATTTTACTGTTTTTTTTTGATGAATTGGTGTTTCTTTTCATTTATTCTTTCTAGTGTTTGTCCATTATATATCTTCCTTATTTCATTTTTTCCTTTCCTTTTACTTTGAATTTAATTCCTTCCATATTTCTGGCTTCATATGTGAAAGCTTATATTTTCTCTCTCTTTTTTTCACGTATAACTATCTAAAGACAAATTATTTCCCTAAAATTGCTACAAATTTTTTTGTTAACCCATGTCGTAAAAGTATGCTGTGGGAGGGGGAGCACTGTGGCACAGTGGGTTAAAGTTCCAGTTTGCAGCACCGGCACCCAAGTCCCACCTACTCCACTTCTGATCCAGCTCTCTGCTATGGCCTTGGAAAGCAGTAGAAGATGACCCAAGTCCTTTGGCCCTGAATCTGTTTTTGAGAAGCAGAAGAAGTTCCTGGCTCCTGGCTTCGGATTAGTGTAGTTCTGGCCGATGCATCCACTAGGGGGTGAACAAGTGGATGGAAGACTCTCTCTCTCTCTTCTCTCTCTCTCTCTCTCTCTCTCTCTCTCTCTCTCTGCTTCTGCCTTTCTGCAACAGTGCCTTTCAAATAAATAGATAAATACTTTTTAAAAGATTTATTTATTTGGAAGAGTTACAGAGAGGTGAGGCAGAGAGAGAGAGAGAGAGAGGTCTTCCATCTGCTGGTTCATTCCCCAACTGGCTGCAGAAGCTGGGGCTGTGCTAGTCTGAAGCTCGGAGCCAGGAGCTTCCTCTGGGTCTCCTACGCAAATGCAGGGGCCCAAGGACTTGCACCATCTTCTACTGCTTTCCCAAGTCACAGCAGAGAGCTGGATTGGAAGTGGAGCAGCCAGGACTTGAACTG